AAGCCTAAAAATAGGTTCATGTTCTTCTTGTATTAAATACGTGCTCAACTTCTTAACTAGTATTGACTCATTATGTACTGAATTTCTGAAATGCTTATTGTATTTGCCAGTTTTTTTTTAATTTTTTTTTTTTTAGAGATTTATTTTTATTTATTTATACAAGCACTGGGTATAGTCAGAAGCTTGGGAGGGTGAGAGGATTCACCAGAGCCAGAGCAGGGAACAGAACAGGCAGTGTGATGAAATACACTGCTGAGGGGAGCAGCGGGCGGCAGGAGAGGTCTGCGCGCCATGTGGGACCCTCCCTCCGGTGGCCGGGGAGCAGCTGGGGATTGAACTGGTGCTGCAGAGGCTGCTGGCAGCTTCGCAACCCAGCGCTCAACCGCTGCGCCACCAGGGAGGCCCTGTATTTGCCAGTTTTAAGATAAAATGTGGATTATAATGACAGAATATGGATAGTATATTCCAGTTTAGCAGTTATAGCTCTAATTTTATGTGTATTCATTATTTATTATAATATCAGCAAATGATTGTTTGATGAATAGCCATACACACAATTCCTAACACCCTTCAGTATTCCTTCAGTATTTTTAAACAGTATTTTAAAACTGTAGGTAGGGCCTCCCCAGTGGCGCAGCGGTTGAGCACTGGGTTGCGAAGCTGCCCGCAGCCTCTGCAGCACCGGTTCAATCCCTGGCTGCTCCCCGGCCACCGGAGGAGGGTCCCACATGGCGCGCAGACCTCTCCTGCCGCCCGCTGCTCCCCTCAGCAGTATACTTCGGTCCTTCTGTCTGCTCTGCTCCCCCCTCTGGCTCTGGTGAATTCTCTCACCCTCCCGCACTTCTGACTGTACCCAATGCTTGTATAAAATAAATAAATAAATTAAAAAACAAAAAAAAAAAAAAAAAAAAAAAACTGTAGGTAGCCTGTAGATGGTGATTTAGTGGGTAATGAAATCAACCTAGAGGGTTTTGAAATAGCATTTAAAAAAACAAAGAAGGAACATAAAGACATGAAAGAATACTGTTCTGGGTGAAATTGTTTTGTGGAACTTTTTGTTTATCAGTTTATAACCTAAGATGTATTTCCTGCCTTGTGATGTCATTCAAACAGTGGCTATTGTTTTAGAGAACTAGTGAGTTAAAATCTGGCGATAACTTTACATTTTTCTGTTGCAATTTAGAAGAGTAAATATTATTGTACTTTAGACTAATTTTTTATGTGCTTAGAATTGTGGTTTATGAAGCAATTATAAAAATTTAAGCTTATATTGTAGTTGTTACTTGGAAATTAGAGGAAGAACAAAGATACTGTATTTTGAACTAACATCTTAGTAACATTGTCAGGTAAGAAGTGAAATGCATAAAAATTACCATTTTAACAGTTTTGGCATGTGTTGAAAAACATTAAAAATATTAGTGACTCATTTTCCTTGGGTTTTATCTTGTTTTGATGACATTAAAGCTAGGGGGTTGATTGATGTATAAGGTCTCAGATTTAAATTTGAATATGAAATAAATCCAGTTAGATGAACATGGTGCTTGGGTATTTTAATTTATAAATGTCTGAGATACACAGGATAGAAATGTGTTTTAAATAGAAGCAAATGTAGTTTAGCTGCCTTCAGGCAAAATTCTACACTAGATTTTGTTGCTTCGTAGGTAATTAAAATATTGATGACTTTCATATTTGTTTTTCAGTTATGAGTCTCAGAGGAACAATTAAATAATATGCTGTAAGATTTTCACCTTGGCAAAGGGTTTTTTTCTTACTCATGTTTATATCACTTACTATTGACCAGAGAAATAATATAATAATGTGTTCTAGTAATGCAAGGCATTACTTGCTTGTCTCAGCTTTTCCTTGCCTTATAGGACTTTGATGTTTGAAGCTTACATCCTACTTATTTTATGTGATATTTCCAGTTTTAATTTTTCTGTTATTTTTCATGATCAAATTTGGATCCTGATGTTTTGGCTAGGAAATTGCCTAAGTGACATGTGGGCCTCACAGGATGCCATAACTAGACGCATGTCTGTTTGCCACTTTTTGCTGATGTCAATTTTTGACCTTTTGGCTAAGATGTTGTTTGTTTTTTTCCATAGCATAATTATTGTTTTTCTTTTGTAACTAAAAAGCATGTGTGGGTAGACACTTTGTGACTGTATAAGCATCCCATTCCAAATCAACCTTTCCTCACTTAGATTTAGTTTCCTTTGATAATTCTTAGAGAAATTCCTTGTAACTTTTGACTTATTTTGATATAATTCCCAGGTTTGAGAAAAGTTGCAACGATCACCACAGGAACCTCCATAAACTTTACTATAATTCACCAGTTGTTTGTATTTTTCATTTTTACATGGGAATAGAGTACCTATGTCAAGTAGTGTGGGCTTTCTTTGTCTCCTGCTTTCACTGAAAAAAGACTTTGCTTTTTTTGTCTTGCTCTAATGAATTGTAAAATTTCTTTAATTTCTGGTTATCCTCTCTGTATTTCCTCATTTGAGGTTTCTATCAGTCGTTTTCTCTGAAATTTTATGTGTAAGTGTATGTATGGGCACATGCCTATGTATAAACTTAGCAATTTTTTTTTTTGTTTTTTTCAGTTACTCTTTCGTGTGGACAAAGGGCAAATATTTTTAAATCACAGAATTTAATAGTAAGTTCTGGAAATTTAAAAAGCCAACCCACAAACATTTAAATCATACATCTTAAATATTATCTTTCTTTGGGTCTCCCCTGGTGGTGCAGCGGTTGAGCACTGGGCTGCGAGGCTGCCCACAGCCTCTGCAGCGCCGGTTCGTTCCCCTGCCGCCTGCGAGGGTCCCACAAAAAAAAAAAAAAAAAAAAAGATTATCTTTCATTGTGAATATTTTGTTAATTTCAATTTAATTTAACAGAGAATGCCCACTATATTGAAAAGATACTAGAGAAAAAAATTAATTGCCAAAGTAACTTATATTTACAATGCTGTTTCCAAAACCTGTAAGTGTGCATTTTCCTATTAGACATTATCAGTAACTCAAAAAAGCAGGTGGATTTATTTCCATTTTTCATAAAGGAATGGAGATCTTGAAAGATTGTGACTTTAGCACAGTCATATAACTAGTGAGTAACAGCTTAAGCTTCAAGCAAAACATAAGGTTGGGCCTCCCCTGGTGGCGCAGCGCTTGAGCATTGGGCTGCAAAGCTGTGCACAGCCTCAGCAGCAGCGGTTCGATCCTCAGCCGCCAGGCGAGGGTCCCACATGATGCACAGACCTCTCCTGCTGCCCGCTGCTCCCCTCATTCTGCTCTCCGCTCTGGCTCTGGTGAATTCTCTCACCTTCCCGCGCTTCTGACTGTGCCCAGTGCTTGTATGTATGTATGTATGTATAAATAAATAAATAAATAAATAAATCTTTAAAAAAAAAGCTTAAAATTCAGTGTTTTTTAATTCTCCCAACACTGTAGCTATGAGTGACAAACTGAGTTAATTTATACGTAGACCAGACCACAGTGGGATTATTTTTTAATTTGTAAACTCACTATCTTCATCATTTATCTTAAGTGGTTAAAGCATAAGAATCTGATCGGTTGAAAGAAGTGATAGCAATGTTAAAAAGTCCATGTGAATACCCAGAAGGTGCTTTTTAATACAGTGATATGTATCAGAGTGCTTGCATATGTGAAAAGTAGTTATGGCGTGTTTTTTCCTGTTTTATTGAAGAGTCTGTTGCGTGTGACCGTGGAATACAGTAGTTACTGTTAGACACTCCGCTTACTATTACCAGTATTAAAAATCTGTACATCAAGGATCCTTACTTAATATGCACCATGGAGTTGGTTTCTTACTTATGGTGTTAGGGATGATGTCTCCACAATGTGTTCCCCCCTTTTACCCATAAACTTTAAAAGGTTCAGTGCCAGAAAGAACAGAACTGTATCTTTATTTTCTCATCACATCCTCTCTCGAATAGATAATACTTTCATTGCTCTCTTTCCAATTTGGCTTTGAGTCACTGCTGTGATTCTAGCTGTTGAACAGTCTTTCAAGTTAGCAATTAGTATTCTGGTGAAGTAAAATTTGTTGTGAAACTGCCATTCTTACCAGTGTAACTAAGGTAGTTTTAATAAATAATTTATTAGGGGCATGTTGTCAGAGGTATATGACAGTTGTATTTTGCAAAACTTCCGTAAGTCTTGGTACTCATAATTTCTTGGAAATTAAATCTTATACTGAATATTCATAGATTCAGGGTTGGAGAAAGCAATAAGTTGTCAAGTTCAATACAGCCACATTTATGCCATTTGATATTTTATAAGAAATCTTAAACTGTCTTTATTTTTTTCTTACTTGATTAAATTTTACTGTCATGTTAATTAATTGGTTCAAAGGAAATGATCTAATTAGTTTGAGTCACAAATGAGAACCACAGGAACTTAAGAGAACTTTGGAAAGCCTTGATAATCTACCGGTGGCACCTCCTCGGTGGAACATGTCAGGTTTTTGTCTGACCATATTGTGCTGTGTGTGAACCTTTCACCATCTGGGCGCTTCAGTTTCCCTTCAGATTAAAAAAAGAAGTCTTACTTGGTATTACACCTAATGCCAACATTTTTGAAAGACAATAAATACATTAAAGTATTTATCATCAGTGTATACAACTTGCTATTTAGAATTTTTTAACGTTATTTTTAATTTCAAGATGTGCTGTTTTGAAATAGTAATTCACTATTTAACAAACACTGACTCTCTTAGCGTACTTCATTGCGTTGTCTTAGAACTTTTATTTTTAGAACACAGTTTATTTAAAGACCAATCTCATTGTTGAATTTGACAGGCGTGACGTGAGGCCAAGCTCATGAGCCCAGAGGGAGAATTTGCAGAATGAGAATCTTGGAGCTTACTTTCTACTTCTATGCTATCCATGTTCATTCCTGCTTAGTGGAGATTTGCTTAAAGTTGACTGTTTTCATCTTCTGTGCCATCTGATTCCAATCTGCACTTGTCTTTTATAGCTCGAGACGGTTGGATGGCAGCTTAACCTTCAGATGGCTCACTCCGCTCAAGCAAAACTGAAATCTCCTCAAGCTGTCTTACAGCTGGGAGTGAGCAACGAAGATTCAAAGGTAAGGACTGGTGGCCCATTTAGATGATATATTTTGTTTATGAGGTCTTGTATTTTATTGTTAACAGAGTCTTTGGTCTCTGGATTGAAAATCTAATGTAACTCAGTTAAAATTATACCAGGGCCAACAAATTGACAGATCTTTATTTGTGACAGATTTTGATGTCAGATTCACATATCACTGCTATTTAAAGAAATTGCTTGTCTTGCAAGGTGCCTTTCTAAAATTCTTGCAAGAATCTTAAAATATGTTTTAAATTTTGCAGGGGGAAAAAACTGGGAATAGCCACCTAAAATATTGTAGGTATTTGTGGTTATTTCTGGGTATTTTGTGAGTTCATCTGCATACCTATGGTAGAGGAGATACTTTCATCTCTCCAGTGCCTGGAATATGAAGATGCTGGGATTGTGTTTGTGTGTTTGTGTATTTATGTGCATGTGTTTCAATCTCAGCTCTTGCAAAATAGAATTTTGGATTAGTTTTATCCTATGTGGTAATTTCCTCTTTAGTATTAATTTTGGAGAACTTGAACATGCTATGAAAGGTTAGAGAGTTAGGCATTTGTTTTTCTTCTTGCATCATATAGAGATATATATTTCATATGTCAGCGTTATTATGATAATAATATTAATTTTTAAGATAGAGAAGGATGAGCGATATTATCCCACCTAAATGAATGATGTTTTGTCTCATCTTAAGACAAAATAGAGATGAGTGTCTGAGGAAGGAGAGATTGCAATGGCAGGATTATTCAGAGCATAATAGGAGAAATATTGAAGGATGGCGCTAGTACTGCTTTGTTATTAGCACCTTTGCTATTTATTACAACATGTGTGTTTCTGTCTCTCTTAAGAGCTGGGGCCAGTGACTATTCCAGGTTATTTTAAGCAGTTGAGTTGGGTCTTATTATGTACTTAATTTATAAATTCACTACAGTTTTCACAAGAAAATAATATAAACTTAGTTGTTAGGAGTTAAAGTGTATTATGTATGCTTCATAGTAGTGGTATAACTTTGGGCTGGTCACTTAATTTTATGATTGTCAGTTTCTCCATCTGTAATATGGGGTGATGTTACCTGTTCCACAGGATTTTTATGAAGACAGGATACCCAGTGTATGTAAAGTGCTTAGTCTTACTCCTAGTATTATGGCACATGCTTAATAAATACCCAATGAGTCACAATTTTGGTCCAGTGAATAAGTAAATATATCTGTTTTAAACTGAAGCTCTTACTAAATTTATTTCCTCATAACATTAACCCCCCCCCACCTTCTTGCATTCTTTATCCCTTTTATTTTTTGGTCATATTTTTCACATTTATGCTTACAAGGAATTGGGGAGGGAAAGGATAGCCTGGAAAGTCCTTTTTCCCTTCTGCTTTGAACTCGGGAAGACTTCCTTCAAGTTTAGGAAAATCACCCAGAAGTCGCTGGTGTGGACTAGAACATTCCATGAGTAAACATACACACACACACAGCTATATAATAGATACATACATACAATTCTCTATATATCTTCACTGTTACATTTCTCATGGCTGCCATATGTTAAGTCTGAGGAGCTAAAAACAACTGGCACTGGTTGAAGGATACTATTTTGACCATCTGTTGGCTCTTCTTTAAGCATCATGACTGGCAGTGAGTGTCTTCGGGATTCTTGCATCCTTCTAACTCCTTTGTTATGTCTTCAAAATATGCCTGTGTGTCTGTTACAGTTGTAGCCAGTAGGAATGAATGAATAATGCTTCTAGTAAAAGAATTTTCAGTTCATATTATTCAGGAAATCAGTATCGATGTGAAATCCAGCACGTTCAAGATACAGGCTTGACTACATTTGTGTTTTTCTGCGTGTTGCTATTTTGAAATTTTGAATGAACATTTGATTAATCCTCATAACTTGCGTAACTTGAGTAATTTTATTAACAGACACACACTTTGGAAGAAAGCAGCGCACAAATGTAAGAGATATTTGCATTTTGTGTGTACCTCAGTGGACTGTTTCTCTGTATTGTCTCTCTCCCCTGTAGCGTTCTATGGACTTGGTTCCTATTTTTTGTATCTCCTAGATAATAGGCATGTCATGGCGTGTACAACCACTGTCAACCTGGGTAGAAAGTTGTTGCCTCCAGGTGACGTGGTGTGTCCTGGCTATGAAGGGACACTTCACTGCTGCCCCTCTGCTGCTCAGTGAACTGCTGCCTGGAGTTTTTAATTTTCCTTTTGTTTATATTCTCCCTGCTTTTATGATCTGTACTCTATTCTTTGTACTCTTCTTACATCTGGTTCTTGGATGTTAATTTTTATGTAACTCCTGTTATTAAGGACCACACACTACTTTACCCTCAAACATTTGGTTTGTTCTGAAATGAGAATTGTAATTCTTGTCAGGTTGGAACATTAGGTAAAAGGAACAGGGGGAGGGGGCATGTTTTAAAAACCAAGTTTGTTCATGGACGGTAGAGCTTTGATTTAAAGGCAGATTTAAAGTTATCACTGGTTTGTTTATGATGCAAAGTACCATAAAGCATAGTTGTGAAATTGACATTTTTAAAAGCAGGACGCATTTAGATAAAAGTCTTTTAAGTGTATGTTTTATAGGTAGATGTCCTGAAAATATTCCTATGTTAAAACAATTCCGAGAGGATGAGAGTCAGTGCAAATTGAGACTATTTTGATATAATTTATTTTTGAGCAACTGTACTGCAAATGTGCTGTGATTCACTGAAGAGTCTGTTTTCTAAGAATCTCTTTCTTCTCATTCACTTCCAACATACACATGCGAAGTGTGGCCTGCAGTGGAGTGTAGCAGCTATCACATTAGATAACATTGTTGTGCTGGTCTCCTTTCTCTTAGAACATTTCTGTCTCAAGGCTTTCCTGTTTTGCTACTAATTTTATCTTGAAAGCTGGGTGATTATAGCTTTTCCTACGGTATCTTGATATATAGTCTAGTTGTTTTCAGTTAATTGTGTTTGTCTACTACTGCATTTAGCAAAGTAAGATTATTTTCCTTTTTCACAGATACCTCAAAAATAGTTTTCTTAGTGTTTTTTTTCATTTATTTCAATAGGGGGCAGTAGAACTCTTTGCTTACCTAACCTCTGGCATTCACAGTGTTATTTGAAATAACATTAAGAATAATTGTCAAGTCAGTAGTTGTGGGAAATGTTAAGTATTTACATTTCTAATCTGTATATAACAATAGAGTTATCTTGTTTCCATCAACAAAATTAATGCCTATTAATCAGATATGTACAGAACAAATAAATGAAATCATCGTGATTTTAGCCTGGGTTAATTTGTATATGATCATTTGCCAAGATGAAATTTATTATAAAGCTTTCTACACTACTGACTTTTTTGTTTGTAGGTACTTGTATTAATTTCTTTTTAAAGGAGAAAAGTGAATAAAATAATCCCCAAGCTAGTTAAATGACTCCTTTAGGCTATAATGTAACTAGGTCCAGACTAAAATAGGCAGTTGAAAGTTCTTTATGTATAGAGAATAGCAATTTTGTATGTAACAAGTATGATTTTAAATGACATAGACACTTTAAGTTTGAATATCATAAAACACTGAAATATTTAAATTTTTCTATTAATTTTTGCATTATTGCATTTCCCCCAGTACAGTAATTTTACTGTGGTACATTTGCTTTTATAGCCATATGTAAACCTTTTCATAGATACTCACATATTGGCTATTTTCAATGAGGGAAGTGGATCTTAGAAATGTTATCTTTGTGTTAGAGGGAATTCTGGTAACTGCTAAAGTCTGGATTTTTTTGTTGCAAGGTAAAACTCTTTTCTAGGGGTGAACATGTTTGGACATATAGTTTGAAATGTCTTTTGTAAAAAATTGTGTGTGTGTTTATTAATTCATGAAGTTCTCAAATGAAGAAAATTTGCTTCTCTCCCTCTCCTTCCTCATACTCTTTTCTTCTGTATAATGGAGTAGAAAAACAGTTTTTCAGATATCCTATTTATCTTAAGGGGTTCCAACTCGTTTGTCTTAAAAGAATACTTTTACCCCAAGTTAAGATGCTGTCACTCCTTACAAAATAGCTTTTGTAATTCTAAGTAGTAAAACGATGGAAGAAGTCTTGTTTTCCAGCAGAAAGAGATCTTAGGTAGATTTGGCTCTGAAGTTTTAGAGATGACCCCAAAAGCATGAACAACCACAAAACAGGAAAATTGGAAATACAAATCCAAATCGGATACCACTTCACATGCATTAGGATAGCTATAATTATAAAAAAGAAAAAGAAAAATAACAATTGTTGGTGAAGACATGGGGAAATTAAATTAGGACCCTCATATGTTGCTGGTAGAAATGCTAAGTGGTTCAGCCACTGTGGAAAATAGTTTGCCATTTCCTCAAAAATTCAAACAGTCTTCATGTGACTCCATAATTTAACTTCTTGATCTATAACCCAAGAATTGAAAACAGGGCCAAGTACATGTACATGCATGTTTGTGACAGCACTAGTCACAGTCACCAAAAGGTATACCCAACCCAAATGTCCATCAGTGGATAAATAATTAATGGTTTAGATGTATCCGCACAACAGATTATTACTGAGCCATAAAAAGGAATTAAGTTCTGACACATGCTACAGTGTGGATGAATCTCACAAATACTCATTTTTGCTCCGTGAAAGAAGTCACATGTAAGGTTACATATAACGTATTTCCATTTATATATAATGTCCAGTTTAGGAGATTAAGATTGGGGCGTGAAAGAGGTTATAGATTTCTTTTTGGGGTGATGACATTGTTCTGGAATAAGACAGTGAATTACAGCATTGTGAATGTATTGGAAGCCACTGACTTACACATTGAGAATCTTGAAAATATAAAATGGGGGTGGAATATAAAAGAGGAAGACTTTGAATATGGGAGAGGGAGACCTTAGGAACATTTCAACCCTCTCAGTTTACTAATGAGATAAGGGAGACCCAGGGAGGTTAAATGATTTGTCAGTCAGTATTAGCAGAGC